AGAGCCGCACCCTGCCGCCACACACACACACCCCTCCCCACACGAAGCCACAGGGGCCCGTGCCGTCCTCCTGCCACACATCAAGGCTCTCCACGCCGCCCGCCGAGCACGAGACACCCCCACGCCACCCCAACCAGCAGCACCGTCCGGCCATGACCACCACCGAGAGCCCCCACCACCTCCCCCACCTCGACGGCACCAGTGCAGCATCCCCGTCATGAACGGCACCAACATGCCCGCCCACCAGGTGCCGTACTACCCGACCTTCGCCAAGGTTGTGCGGGTGTCAAAGCCAGTCAGTCGTGGCTGGTGGCACAACCCATTCACCGGCGAGGCCGAGTGGTGGTGGCGAAGCACGGGTGCGTGGGAGGTGCGGTCAGCATCGCAGGATGTGGGCATGAAGGCCTGGGCGCTGCTGTCGGCCGCAGTGGGCCGCGGACCACCCGCACCACCGCCCTCACAATGACAATGACAAGGACAACAACCACAAAGACAGAGGGGCAGGAGGGCAAGAGAAGCTACCTTAGATAGGTCGAAATAAAGATGGATGGGTCGCCTCATCCAAGCTTGCTGGTGGTATTTTTCTCATTGCTCGCTTAGCTTGCTCTCTGCCTCCTTCTTTCTTTCATGTGCATCCTCATTTTTTCTCATTATGCGCGTGTGTGTGTCTGTGTGTGTGTGTGTGTGTATTTTTAACGCATCCATCCATCCATCCACTCATGTGCATGATGGCGGCCGCTACGTGCACCGCACCGCATCTGTGTGAGAGAGTGAGAGCGAGTACCTCTTCCTGAGTTTGTCTCTTCCTCCCTCTACTTAAGGCCTTCCTCTACTCCACTTCCTACCTCTCCTCCCTCTACCCTCACCGTCACACAGGGTCGATGCCTGTTAGTCCATGGTACGCGACGAACTGAGGCAGGAAGAGCACATACATCCTTCACGTGTGGTGGCATGTGTGTGTGTGTGTGTGCAGCCATACGCGAGACCACTTGCAGCCAATGTTCATGGCCATCGCGCCATGGTGCCTTCTGCGGCCACCACAGGCCGTCAGCTTAGGGCCCTTCTCGTCTGGGTAAGTACCTAAGCATACACCAATACTCTGACACCGATAGACAGACAGACAGACAGAGAGGGACATCGGCCGACCTTTAGGAATCTTTTCTGTCTCCTTTGCGTGCAGGTAAGTAAGCCGCCCCTTCGTGGGTGGTCTGAAAGCCTTGGCGGGGGGGCCCCACGTGACGCGACTGTCGATAACCAACCAGTCGCCAAACACGTCTCCCTCGAAGCCCCCGTCCATCCACCGGTGAGCAGCCCGCAGTTTGCCAACACGCCCACCCCCTC